TTGTCATGGTCGCCTACGCGTTGGGCGCTGCTGGTCAAGGCTGCGAACAGGTCATGCGTCGGGCGCTGCAGGTCGCTGACCTTCGTGTGCGTGTGCTTCTGTGAGGTGGCGTGCAACGTTATATCTCCTGGGAGCGTGCGCCTTCCTTGCGTGTCAGGTGTTGCGCGTTATCATGCACGAGGTGTGTCCAAGATCGTCGGGGCATGCGCAGCAAGACAGGGGAGGCGCACGATCTTCTCAGTGATGGTGGCGTGCGAACAGGGACGACGTCACAGGGAGGTGCTGGAGAATTACTCGGACACTTGGGAGCACGCGACTGCAGGAGATAACTCGTGGTAGCGTGCGGTGGCAACGGGCTGCGGACGCGGCTGCGAGCGATTTCCGGCGGCGGCATGCGATGGTGGTTCACGGCGGTTTTCGGCTGCTTGGGGTTCGTTGGATAATATAATGTATCAATATATGTTTATCAGGATGTTCGAAATATATTGTACCCTAAGATCTTCTAATGTATGACATTGTACTCCTACTTCGAATAATCTTGGTGGTGCGATTAAACGGAACTCCCGAAATCTCAAGATGTATAAAACTAGATTTTTGCTCTCCCACAACGACTAGAAAAATCGGACCTCACACATGTATTCAAAAGAGGTTGGGACATGGTGAAATACAATGCAACAAATTTTGTGTCGAAATAATACTTTTGTGTCGAAATACAATGCAACAAATTTTGTGTCATCGTTTTTGCTGGTTTTTAAAATGACGTTTACGAGTAAGTCGTCATTATGTGCTTGTGTCTTGTGACGATACATTAAATACATCTTTATTCGTCATATTAATACATATTATGACGAATTTTACAAAATTCATGTCGTCGTTTGTTTTGGTAACTACAATGACGCTTTTGAAAATCATCATTATATAATTTTGTATTGTGACGATACATTACAATACATATAAATTCGTCACACTAATACATCTTGTGACAACATGCAATGCAACAAAATAAATGTCGTTAATTTTGTTTGTATTTAAAATGAAGCTTTCGAAAAATAGTCATTATTGCAATATGCATTGTGACAATACATCAGAATACATCACGTGTCGTCACTTTTTTATCTAACATGACAAATTCCATTCAATAAAATAAGTATCGTCATTTTTTGTTTTTACATTTATGGATATTTTTGGCAGAAAAAAAAAATAATGAAAAATAAAAAATGAAACTCGCATATTTCTTCATAAAAACAAGGTTCTGAAAACCGAACTTGTCATCGAAACGGTCAAGCTATTAGTTCAATGGTTCAGTGGTCCTCGACCAATGGTTGAACCGGTTGGACCGCTATTTAATTTATTAGCATTTGTAAACATATATAATATTTTATATAATAAATTTTATATAAGAAAATTGTTATTTAAATTTTAAGACAATTTAAAATATTCAAATACTTAAATTAAGAAAAAATTACACTTAAACCCACCTAACTAATAATAACTTATATATATCCATTATATTTAGATAGTTTATTTTTTATTTAACTTAAAAATATTATTTAATAAAAAAAATATTTGTTTTAAAAAATAACATCCAATTAAAAAAAAAAAAAACTAATAAATTATCTAGTTCCCTAATCAAACATCGCAAGCAGTTCAAAGTAAAGTCAACCGGTTGGATCGGGAACCGGCCTTCATTCCGGTCCGGTTTGCCATATCAAACCGCCTAGCATTTTAACCGGTCAAAAACCATTCGAACCAGTTCAAAACCGGTCGAACCGGTGAACTGAAATTGGTTCAAGCTTTGGAATTTGAAATGTGTTGATTGGGAAGTGGTTTAAATTGCACGCCTTTTTACTTGTGTTTTCAATGTGAGATATGTTCTCTTGCTAAAATTATTGGGCCTTACAAGCAATGTTGTACGCATTAAAAAGAATATACTACTTTTTAAGTTGGACTATCTATTGGGCTATATTCCCAATTTATTAAAAAAAATAAGCAAATTATTGTTGTTTGTTATGTACATTATTGTATTTTTTATTTTTTTAATCAATAATAAAAAATTTAAAATGTAATTTAAAATGAAAATAGGGTTCTTTCTATTCTCTCTATTTTGTAACTTAAATATAGATTACAGTTTTAAATATAAAAAATAAAATAAAAAAAATTATAAACATTAATTAACATTGTCGGTTGTATATATTATTGAGTTATTATTTAGAGAAATGTCATATAATATAAAATTAATGATAAAAATATATATAATTATATATTATACATATAAAATAAATAAAAAATATATATTAATTTAACCGATTCGATCGGTTCGACCATTGGTCCGACCAGTGAACTATTGAACAAGTAACTTCACCGATTCGGTTTTCAAAATCATGTTTACTATACATTACATGATCCGAACACCATTACAAAGTTAAATCCTCAAAAACACAAAAAGGGCACAACAAACGAATATCTTTTGACATATTCGATTCCACAAGCACCAAACTCCCTTATTTAAAAAGAAAAAAAAAAGCACCAAACTCTCTCCCAAACAAGAAAAATAGTAAAAAGGCTCAAACGAAAATCCCATCCATATATAATTTCAGAATGCGCTGAGCCTACGTGACAAACTCTCATGCTTCGGAATCCTATTTGATAAAAAATTATGCTTTGAAGTTATGCTTGGATATAAATTAATATTTTTTATCACACTAAATTCATTAGTTTTTATAAATGTTTCTTCTTTTATTTTAAGATTTTATAACTTTTTTGTTTGTATTTTATTTTTCATATATGATATATCAAATTAACCATCTTTTAACGATTTTCGATTTGACATCCATATTATATATATAAAATACAAAACAGTAATATATATCCTTATAAATAAAATTTAGATTTATTTATCAAACTAAATTAAATTATATCAAATAATACTATAAATTATATTATAAAGTAATAGAAATTGATATGTATTCTTTTAAAAATGATATTTCCTTCAAATCTAATTGGTATGTTGTCAATCTAATAAAAATAAATACTTATTTATCTAAATTCTAAAATTACATATAAAGTTAAAAAACTGTGAAACATGAGTTGACATTTTCATTTAATGTACGGGTGTTTGATTATTATGATTAAAAAAATAATATGACAATTTAATTAAAACTCCAAGTAATGTTTTATATAAAATTAAATTATTTAAGTTTTTTAAAAAAATAAAAAATTTAATATGTTTTATAAAAGTTTTTTAGTTCAACACGCGTGTAATATACGGATATTGTACTAGTAATCCCTTCTTTAATATAATTTGAAAACGTGTTGAGCCTAAATAGTTGCCTCGCACGCTTCAGAAGCTTACTTGACAACATTACATGCTTCGACTTTTGGTTCGGATAAAAATTAATACAATTATATTTCAAAATAAATATGAAGAGTTTGATTCTTATCAAATATCCATGTACGTAATCCCTTATATTTCAAAATAAATATAAAGAGTTTGATTCTTATCAAATATCCCTGTAATTGTTGGACATCGAGTATATTTTTTAAACTAAATAACGTGGGGAACATCAACATATTTGCTTCACATCGAGTATCGTAGACAAGACAAAGGTAATGAAAAATTGTTCAACTTCTCTTTTACAATTTGTGAGAAAAAAATTATTGTGAAATTTTGTGATTGAGTTGTTCTTAAATCTATGCATTTTTTNGAAAAAGGAAAGCATGTTTTTTTTCCTTTTTGTTTTTTTAGTTAACTTCCTAGGGGCATTGGGTTTCTTTTGAATCTGAGATTTGTAATGATCAATCGTGAAAATTTTGTCATATCACGTTAATTCATCTTTTTCTTTGGTGCCTTCTGGTATTAACTTCGGCTTGATGTTGGCAGGTTCATACAAATATTAGTTCTCTTTTTCTGTTAAAGTCAAATAGAGGCTACATTGAGATGGGCTGGTCAAGGTTTAAGATGCTAATGGGACAATAATTTGAGTAATGTCTGAAAAGAGGAATATAAATATTTTATTATATTTTCACAAAAATTATTGATTATTTGCGATTGAGAAAATCAGCATTCAGTGTACACAACTGATTTTTTGAATGCAATAAAATGCTCTGAAATTCCTAATCACATCTTAAAATTGAAAGTTGGTATTCTTGTAATGCTGATTCGAAACATGGATCAATCTTCTGTGTTGTGAACTGACACTAGGTGAGTGATTACTCGACCATTCTTTTTTTTGTTTTGTTTTGGCATTTACACATTCCTAAATCTTAACTAAATTTTTATCTATCATTATTTTAATATTTTTATTTTTTAATTAGAAAGAAGAACTGATAACTTTAATAAATAATCATTATTTATTTTATGGGTTGTGTAATTACACCAGGTTAGTCATCACTCGACTTGGAGATCGCATTGTTGAGGTTAAAGTTCTATCAGGAAGGAATATTGGGTGCAAAATATTTATTTCGCATTTATTTTATTGTTTAACATCGAACTTTACTTGTGTCATTCTGTATTCAGTCATGGTCAACTTTATGTTATTATCTAGAGTTAAAAGTAGGAGAGACTTGAAAATTCTGTATTGGATAAGGATAAGGATGGAAAAATTATAAATAAAGCTATTAATGTTGTGTACAAAAAGATTTTTCAAAAATTGGAATAATATCGACTTTAGTATTTTATATTTTTGCACTTTTATATGAAACATGTGCTTTTTCTATTATTTTATGTCTTATATTTTTTTTCAAACAACCCGTGCAATACACGAGTGTCGTACTAGTACTAATACTAATAATAATTATAAAAGAGAAATTCGACGTGTCAACATTTAAGACGCACCAGTTGTCATGCGCCGGCGGTGGCTTGACGGTGCCGAGAAATCGTGGCCGTACAATACCACACAAAAGAACCTCGGGGGCGTCAATTCCCATAATATCCGAGGGTATTTTAGGGAGAGGAAGAGATATACGTAATTCCAGAAATGGCCTTCCTCTAGACAGTTTCATTCACACCACCAATTTTTGCATCGATGGGTTTTTTTGGGGTATATTCTCTCTTCCAGGACTCTTTCTCTGTAAAAATCGCGAACAAACCCCCATTTATGTCCAATTGGCTTTACTGAATTGAAGAGAGAGAGAGAGGGAGGGAGGGAGAGAGAGAGAGAAAGAGAAGAAGAAGAAGAAGGGTAGCCTGTTTTCTTTCATGTGGGGATTTTGTATTGATCTGTTCTAAAATGATGGACTGGTCCTAGGAAGCCAAGGTGAGATTTTTCCTTCTCTTTTCCTTTTCCATCAATTTCTTTTTGCATACGTGTATTGGATTTTTTTTTGGCAGATTATCTACCTTTTTAGCCATATATCTGTCTTTATCTAAAATATAAAATAATAATTTGTATGTATGTCCTATTCCTGTGATTCATAACCTGTTTTTCTGTGGGTTTAATGATGTCTGATTATGATATTCCATTGTCATTTTTTAATTTGTGGCGAAATCAACTAGTGAAGGAAAACTTCAGATCATTTAGTTGTTTCGTTGGTGTGGGTTTGAAGATGGTTGAATTGTTAAGAATGTAGTTTATGCTGTGAGCTGTGTTGCAAGATTTGGAATTTCGCAGGAAATCTATAATTTTTCCGCTAACTTATTGTTAAAGTGAGCCGTCTTATTTTCTTCAGATCATTTAGTTGTTTCGTTGGTGTGGGTTTGAAGATGGTTGAATTGTTAAGAATGTAGTTAATGCTGTGAGCTGTGTTGCAAGATTTGGAATTTCGCAGGAAATCTATAATTTTTCTGCCAACTTATTGTTAAAGTGAGCCGTCTTATTTTCTTTTCAAATTTGGAGCTCAATGATCATGAAGATCTTGATAGATCTTTTATCCTTTGGTAGTCTGACAAGTGTCTGGAGTGCATTCGCCATATTAATGGTAAAATTGGCTCCTGCCTATACTGATTGTTTTTTGTTCTAGTGGGTTGAATGATCTAATTTGGCATCTCTCATTTTTAATTGACTGCATTATGCAGTATGATGTACTGAGAGGCACTACCCATTTGTTTCTTGCTTCAATAAATAGTTTGTATTGATAGGTTGAATTTTAATCTCTTATTATAAAAATGGCTGTGTTGCAGCAGCACTGACTATGATAAACCCACCATTCCACATTTGATATATGAGCAACTGCTGTTTGTGCACCATAGTCGATTGCTTCAGGGGGTTATTGGTTCCTGAGGAACTTGATGTGCTTGATGTACTGTTATATCTATATGGTCTCGTATAACACTTGTTCACATTTTGAACTCAGTGTTTTGCTTTTTGAACAAAGATAATATTTTGATGGCAGGTCTAGTTTTGCAGAGCGTACTTTTTCTTCAGGATATTTGGAAAATCATGTTGCACTGGTGGCATTTCAGAACTATCTGACTTGACTGATATATGTGCTGTGGTGTAAACTGATAGCGTTCCGTTCGGCTCAATAGCTTTATCTATACCTGATCTGAGTATTTCGTTTGATATCATTTTCCCAGTTGGACCTTTAAGAGCTCTATCTACTCTAATTTATAATAAGTATCTGTATAAGTTGTGAGTTCCTCATTACCGGAAAATCTGAATAAACAATGGATGATGTGATCTTGCCGCCAAATCAGAAACAGACTACTCAAATTCCTCGTAAGTCTGCCCCTCAGAATAAGGATCTCTGGTTGGTTGCAAGGGAGGGCTCTGTTTCTGATTTAGATTTGGCCTTATCGTTGCTTAAAAAACATGGAGGGAATGTGAATGCGAGAAACACTTTTGGTGTGGCCCCGCTGCATATTGCAACCTGGAGAAATCATGTGCCTATTGTTAGAAGGCTTCTTGAAGCTGGTGCAGACCCTAATGCTCGGGTATATTTCTCTTCTAATCTTCTTGATAATGCATATTAGTTGCTTTGGGGAGTGATACATCGTCGTTCCACCGTTACTGTTATCACATGCAGGTTTTTGTTTCGTTCTCTGTGTTTTGGTATTAGTATTTGATCCTTTCTCGGTTTTTGTCATCTTAACTACAGCAGAAGAGAATCTGGAGAGGTGAGTGAGTGGAAGTATCTTTTAAGGATTAGAGCAGGGGAATGAGAATGAAATTTAGAATTTTCTATTTCTAAAGTGGATAATGCGAAAAAAGTTGTTTGGATGAGTCAAATTTTGCATGTTTCTGAATATGCCATATCTGTTCATAAGCATCGTTAACACTTCCTACGTATAGCAAGTTCGATAACTCTTATGGGCTGATGTTATAATTTTATGGACTATTGATCAGTTAGTTTTACTTGGACTTTCTGGATTATGATTTTTTTTCCTCCATTGATGTAGAAATAGTTTCAGTTCTAAAAACTCAGTTGTCTTCTTTTTAGGATGGGGAATCGGGATGGAGTAGTCTTCATCGAGCTCTGCATTTTGGACATCTGGCTGTCGCTTGTGTCCTTCTCCAGTTTGGTGCCTCATTAACATTGGAGGATTCGAAATCCCGAATGCCTGTTGACCTTTTATCTGGGCCTGTGCTACAGACTCTTGGAAAGGATAACAATTCAAGTATGCTTTGAATTCTGTAAATTTCTCCTTGTGTTGTTATTTTTATTTTTTAAATACGAGCTGTTTGTTTTCTTTTTTTCTTTTTCTTTTTCTTCCCATTACCAATGATATATATTATTATTTTCAGTAACAACAGAGGTCTTCAGCTGGGGTAGTGGTGTTAATTATCAACTCGGAACTGGAAATGCACACATACAAAAGTTACCGTGCAAAGTTGATTCTCTTCATGGTTCATTCATCAAAATGATTTCCGCTGCTAAGTTCCACAGTGTAGCAGTTAGTGCTCGTGGGGAAGTCTACACTTGGGGTTTTGGAAGAGGTGGCCGCCTTGGCCATCCTGAGTTCGATATACACAGGTGAGTGTTGAATAATTTTTTTTTTTTTATTATTTTTTTCACACTCAAGCAAAGATGCATTGGTGTCTGTCACTTCTATATAAGCAGGATAATTTTATTTGGTTGCTAATATGTGGTTTTGAAGTTATCCTAATTGGTAATTGTGATTTTTACTTTATGATATAATGAGGCTTTATAAAACATATTGTCATCAAGAATGTTGAGTTCAGGGGCACCTGTTTGGCTGTTGGAGTATCGGTTTTGTTTATTGATTTTTTGCTGATCAACAGAGGATTTCATGTGTTGCTTGTCTGTCACTTGTTGAAGTTGCACGTTGCATCAATTGGATCTATTGCTATTTATCTTTTATTAAAGTTAACACTTTTAATCTCATGATTATATTTCCCTTTAGAATATTAGCTTATTTTATTAAGATTTTTTTTTTAAAACTAGCTGATAGCTTATTAGTAATTTTCGAGCTTATAGCTTATAGCTTATGACTTATAGCTGAAAAGCTAGCAGATATGATAAAAATGTTTGGTATAATTAGCTGATAAGCTAGCTGAAATAAAAATTTCAACGAGCTTATTTGAAAAGCTACTCAAAGAAGCTTATGAGATAAGCTCGTCCTACCAAACGAAGCTTTTTTAAGTACAGGAAGCTTATACGCTAATCAAATAAGCTATAAGCTAGCTTATTTGTCTATCAAACATAGCCTAAAAGTCGATTGAGGTTTAACGTTTTGTCTATTGTAGTGGCCAAGCTGCAGTCATCACTCCCCGTCAAGTTACCTCGGGTTTAGGTGCACGTCGGGTAAGAGCTATAGCTGCAGCGAAGCATCACACCGTTGTTGCCACAGAGGGTGGAGAAGTACTTACATGGGGTTCTAATAGAGGTAAACCATATAGAAAAATTCAGCTTATGCATAGGATCTTGAAATTAAAAGGTTAAAGCAACTTTGCAGTTGGATAAACTTGACGACAGGGTGCTGATGAAATCATAGATTTTTAAAGTATATGTTCCAAATTATTTTGCTGTAGAGGGGCAACTTGGATACACCTCTGTTGACACCCAGCCGATCCCACGCAGGGTGAGTGCCTTGAAATCGAGAATTGTGGCAGTTTCTGCAGCAAATAAACACACGGCTGTAGTTTCGGAGGCGGGTGAAATTTACACGTGGGGTTGCAATAAAGAGGGACAGCTCGGTTATGGCACCTCGAACTCGGCTTCTAATTATACGCCGAGGGTGGTGGAGTATTTGAAAGGAAGATCTTTTGTTGGCGTATCTGCCGCAAAATATCACACTATTGTTTTGGGATCAGATGGAGAGGTACGAAGTACTGTTAACTATTTATCTTTTTCTTGTGAGTCACACTCAAGAGAAGGTCTCCTGAAATTAAATTTAAAGTGATTCCAAAAAACACAAAAAACTGGAATACCTGAAAGACAAAAAATCCAAAAACATTCAA